CCTGCTCCAGAGGCTACGCCCTTCCTGGGAACGGCACTCCGCCGCCAGGCACCGCAGGCTGGGGCGGCGGGTGCCTGGCTTCCAGCCGGAGGTTCCCCGGGATGCTCCCGCCCCCACCGCGCCTGGCCCAGCCCGAACCCCTAACGGCCGCGCGGGGAAGCCTTCCCCTCCGCGCTGTAACCGGCCCTCCCTACCATCGCGCGCCAGGTTGGTGGGTGGGCGCGTGGGAAGGCGATAACCCGGCCTTGAACCCCAGACCCTTGAAAATAATTCACCATGCCAATAATTCAACTGGACGGGAAGGTCAAAGGCGAATAGGCCCGCCTTGTAGACTGGAGGAGGGTGATGCAATGGGTCAGGAGGGAATGGCGTGGGTCGGGGGACACCAAGTGTTCACGAGGGCGGGGGAGGCTCGGATCTGCCGCTCGGCACCGAGGCGGCGCGGGCGGCCGGCCTGCAGCTCGGAGAGGAGGCCCGGCGACCGCCCGCCGGGTGCTGCCCGCGCAGCCAGCGCATTCCAGGCAGTAGGCGTCACGAGCGCCGCGGCTGCTTGCGCTCACTTTACTCTCTCCCCAAGCGCGGAATCTGCCTGTAACTGCGTTGCTCCCACCTCCCACCACCCTCTCCGCGCTCCCCGCCTACCCACCAAGCAGCAGGTTAGATCCTGGAGGGGCGCGCTCGCATCCGAGAGCCAGTTGATTCCAAGGCGGCACACGCATGCCCCCAACATTTGGCCTTCCCGGCCGCCCCGAGACGACTCGAGCACAGCTCCGCGGCCACCCGGCTACAAGCATTTTCTACCACTGGGTCACCCCTCGGGCAAGGAGCGCCCTTCTCTTCCCACAGCTTTCCCCCCGACCCAATGTCGTTCCCCACCCGCACTCAGAAGGGACACAATTTTCACACAGCAGGGAAACCCTCGTAAGAAGCGAAGTTAAAGGAGCGGCGCAGAGCGAGCGCTGGTGGCGCGCTGGCCCGTGCTGAGAGCGTGCCAGGCGCGGAGTCCCGCTACCCGCCGTGCACCCCTGAGCGGCTGGAAACCCGCCCGAGCGCCACGCGGTCCGATGACTCTCTTACCCGAAGTGTCCCACAGGCTCAACTCTATTCTTTGTGTGTCGATTTCAAAACTGGCCGTGTAATTCTCAAACACCGTAGGGACGTAATTCTGGACAAGATGGACAGGGGAAAAAAAGAGGGCAAAGAGGTTATCTTAAAATGCACGACACCCGCAGAACACCCTCTGATAATCGCCTCCCCACTCTCCAACTGAAAAACGAAACCCCAAAACCCGCACCCACCAGATCTCACACTGAACACGCGGACCCTTCCGAAACCCCTAACTTCCCTCTCGCCCCACCCGTATCCTCCAAGACCCAAGGATCCAAATCTCCCAACCCCAGATTCTGCACACAGGACCGAACAAGTTTCAGAAGCTAGCAGCAGAACGTGCACGCGCATCCCAACCCCTCAACGCTTCCAGCCCACTTTCCCTTTCCGGGCAGTCTAACCAGGAGGAAAGTAGTAAATGGTGAGAAAGACGGCCCAAAAAAAGAAAAACGGGTGAAGGGGGGAAAGTCAGGGGACACCCACCTCGACGCGGGGGTCCCCCGGGCCGCCCCCCTCCTCGCAGCCCCGGCGGGCCACACTCACCTCGGGGAAGCAGTCTTTGGCGAAGACGTGCAGCAGCGCGGTTTTCCCACACTGACTGTCTCCCACCACTACTATCTTGCATTTCACGTTCTGATTAGGATCCATGATAGATTTACTGGATAATTTCTGGCTGGCTCTTCTCTCCTTCATTGATCTTGTCTTATTTTCTCTCGAAACAGAAATTTTCACTTAGGAGGAAAAAAATATATATATATTTCTCTTTCTATAAAAAGCAGATATATAAAAATAAATCGCAAGGCTGGCGGGAACCCCTGAAGCGCCGCGCAGATGAGGAGAGCTAGAGGAGCAGGCTCATTCCTCTCCTCCGACAAGTTTTATGCCTGACTCCACACGGCGCTTCCCAAGTCCAATTCCGATCCGACTGCTTTGTTTCACGCTCTCTGCGCGGCTTTATACCCCCGGCCTTCCAATCCTCTTTCTCAATGAGAGAAGGAAACTGATCCGCCTCCTCCCCTTTTATGGAGCCTGGGAGCGAGCGCCGTCTGGCTCCTCGCAGAACACGTAGACAATGCGCCCTCTAGGGTGACCATGCGGGATCGATTTCCAGACCAAGGCTCTGCGATGACTTGAAGACCCCAATGACGCTTTGCTGAAAGATGGGACTGTACAAGTCAAGGAGGAGGTGGGAAACTGAATTGTCTGTGCATATTGATTTTTATCAGAATTTCTTGAAAAAACGTTTTCATAGGGGCTGATCTACGGAAGCCTCATAATGAACATTTATGAAAGCAAAAACATTTCCTGCCCAACACAGAAGGGTGGGGAAGGGTTAAGTGGCTGCATTTTGTTACAAAGTGTTTTGTATCAGGTATATAGGCCATGGAACAATAGCTAAGCCGGGGTACTTCCGATGCCGGAACTGGCTTGCCTGGGTCACAGCAAGACTGGCTTCTGAAACCAGCGAGTTCCAGTGACTCAGGAGGAGAGAGAAAGGTTTTGAGGAGAGGGAAGGGGAGGTGGGAGGGGAGAAGAAAGAAAAGTGGAAGATGCTCATAACTGAGTGACCAAAGCCATTGGAGACTCAATCCTACTGCACTAGGGACCTAAACACACAAGGTCAGCCATTGCCCCTGTCAGTGAGAAGAGGGGGTAGGAGGGATTCTGATCCTGCCCTTTAATTCCTTTATCTGTAGCTTCCCTTTCTCTGAAATCAAAGCACCCTAGGCTGGACCCAGAAAATAGAAATTTGCTTAGCTGAAAAGTGCAGGTACAACCCTTCACTCCCTCTCCACCTCGCCTCCGCATCTACCCCCTACCCACCCACCTGAAAGTCTCAGAGAGGACTAAAAATGGCCACACGTTTGTTCTCTCTACCCTATAAAAAAGTCCTTCTTTTCTCATCTTCATTTCCTGTGCTTCAAGTGATCAGGAGGCTTCACCTATTTTTAACATTTTTATTGAGGTATAGTTGATTTACAGTATCATATGTTTCAGGTGTACAATATAATGAATCAATTTTTAAAGATTATACTCCATTTATAGTTACTATAAAATATTGGCTATATTCCCTGTGCTGTGCAATGTATCCTTGTAGCTTATTCATTTTATACATATAGGTTGTACCTCTTAATCCCCTACCCCTGTATTGCCCCTCACCACTACCCTCTCCCCACTGGTGACCATTAGTTCGTTCTCTATATCTGTGGGTCTGCTTCTTATGTTATATTCACTAGTTTGTTTTATTTTTTAGATTTCACATATAAGTGATATCACAGAGTATCTGTCTTTCTCTCTGACTTATTTCACTCAGCATAATGCCCTCCAAGTCCATCCATGTTGTTGCAAATGACAAAATTTGCAGAGGTTTCACCTATTAAATTGTATTAAGGACATTGGCCAAAAAAAAAAACAACAACCGTATAGGTTCCCCCATGGACACTTCTAGGTTTGTAAATGAGAAGAAGATGAGGTGAAAAACCAGAAAGTTCAATATGGGGAGTGAAAAGGCACAATGATAGGTGGTTAAAAGCATACATGTAAGTATCAACCCTAGGACCATGAAGACTCAGGGATCTAAGGATGGTCTCCTCTTCCTTTCAGAGTAGAGAAGACTGGAGCCGCTCAAAGGAAGACTGACTCAGTGTGTAGGGCTGTGTTCATACACACACAGGGCTGACTCATAGAAAAGGGGATCGCTGGCCCTGCTCAGATTACTAAAGCAGCACTGGCCAAAGTTTGCTCTGCAGAAAGTGTGCTCACAAAAAGCGTCCTGCATCCCAATTAGTGATTGAGACACTGTGCCCGTATCACCCCTTGAAGATGTGCCAAGCACTTTGACATATTACAAACAGTAAAAAGCTCTATAGGAAGGTAGCATACCTAACGTAGTTTAATCCAGCATTCCTCAAAACTACTTAAGCACAGGAAACTTTGATCTAATTATTTACTTGTTTGAGAAGCCATGGACATAGTGGTTGGGGGCAGGAAATCACAAAGAAGTGTATCCGTGTGACCTCGGATAAGTTACTTAACCTCTCTAAGCCTCAATTTCATCATCTGTAAAATGAGAGTCGTAATAGTAATGATGAGGAAATGCAAGTGAAGTTTGCAGGATAGCTTCTGGCACATTAAAGAATCCTCCACCTACTTTATACTTCACACGTAACTCTCATTTTCACTTCTCAGAACTGTTGAACATATCTTGGGAAATTCTGGCCTCATGAGTGCACTCACTAATTGGAGCTAGGAGAATAGATCCACCCTTTTTTTTTTTCCCTCAGATTTTTAACTTAGGAAGTTGCTCCTTTCTGGAAATATGACTTGACCTACCACATTCCTGAATTGATATAGTTTATGTGGTTAAGCTGCTCTAACTAGCAATAGTTATGAATTATTAGTATTTGGCTGACAATGAATAAGATGAGCATGTAATTTATCATATAAGCTGGGACACTTTTGAGAGCAGAAGGGGGTACCACTAATGGTCAGAACAACAGTTGTAAACAGGGTCTGGCCCAGGCAAAATGAGAGACCTAATCACTTTACTGAATAATCTGGAACCATAGACTATTTTTGGAAATCAGGTGACCTGAATCTCCAGGAATCTGCCAGTTGCTGAGTGAAATTTTTTTAATTTTTAATTAATTATATTTATTTAAATAAATTTATTTTATTTTTGGCTGCGTTGGTTCTTCGTTGCTGTGCACAGGCTTTCTCTAACTGCGGCGAGCGGGGGCTACTCTTCGTTGCGGTGCGCGGGCTTCTCATTGCGGCGGCCTCTCTTGTTGTGGATCACCGGCTCTAGAGCGCAGGCTCAGTAGTTGTGGTGCACGGGCTTAGCTGCTCCTCAGCATATGGGATCTTCCCGGACCAGGGATCGAACCCGTGTCCCCTGCATGGGCAGGCAGAGTCTTAACTACCGCACCACCATGGAAGTCCCTGCTGAGTGAAATTTAATGGCTGTGTAATAGGGTAGAAAAACAACTGCCTGAAGTCACCAGGCTTTGAATCCCTTTAGGCTAAGAATTATTTCCTTGTCTTCTTTGAGTCTCTACTACTGTGTAGTAGATACTCAATATATTTAAAAAATTCATTTAGCATTTAGTTCAACAAATATTTATTAGGCACCTGCTATATTCCAGGCACTGTTCTAGAAACTGTAGATATAACAGTAAACAAGCCAGCCTGCTTGCTGCTCTCACAGAGTACATATGTCAGACAAGAGATAGACAATAAAGAAGTAAGCAAGTACACAAATAAGAATGAATGTGCCAAGTTCTATGAAGACAAAACACGATGGCATGATGAAGCGTAGGAAGGTGGGGATTAGACCCAGTGGCCTGGCAATGCCTCTCTAAGGAGGATGAGTCTTTAATGGTGAGAACAAATCAACCTTGAGAAGGTCCACTGGAAGGTAAGGGAACTGACAGTGAAAAGGTTATATGCAGAGAAGAACTCAGCAGGTGGAAGAAACAGAAGGAAGGCTGGAGTCAGTAGGCCCACTGAAGGAGGGAGAAAATAGATAGGAGAGCAGGAGAAAAAGGACAGGAGCTAATAAATGGGCCTTGGAGATAGGTTCATAGAATTTGGATTTCATTCTAAGGGCAATATGTAGTCAGACACAGGAAGGCTTGAAGCAGGGTAATGACTTGATTATTTGAATGAATGGCTCCAATTCTACGTTTGCAGCTGTCACTTCACTAACTATGACTTTGATGACACTGCTTATCCTCAATGAGATTTTCAGATCTAAATGATACCTAAAGTCCTAGAAAAGACTAAAATTTTAGATTGCAATGAAAGGTTTTCCCTAAGGAAAACATTCATTTGGAAGGAGTGCAGCCCCATTTAGGGAATCATACATTACCTAATGTCCTGTCTTTTGTTATTCTTCTTGTTTCCTATTACTCTCTCCTTTCTCTAATTACCCCTAAGTTCAAGAGAAGAGAAAAAATAGCAAACATTTCCATATGGATTGGTTACTACGTCGTGTGCATTCAGCATTCAGCCGCCCTAAGAAGTCTGAACTTAAGAATTCTTTCCTCTGTGGTTAACAACCCTCTACTTACTAGAGGGAAGCACCCCCTCCCATAGAAACTGCATCCCCTCTGACACAAAACAGGTTGATTCCAGGCCTGGAGAGAGGGCTAACTGAGAGAGAACAGCCATCTAGGGATGGCACAGACCTGATAAACAACAACAGCTCTGTGTTCTTTCTGTGAGCACTGGCCCACAAGTCAGGACATTGACTTTTAGTCCCAGCGAAACTAAAGCACTGTCTGACCTTGGGCAAACACTGACTGAATTCTTTTCCTTAGTTTCATTCTTACAAGACAATGATAATATCTGCTTCCTTTAAGTCCCACAATAAGGCTGCTTAGAAGATCACATGCCCTCTACTTTGGAACATTCTTCTTTAGAAACACACGTCAGGCATCCCCTCCTCCTCCCTTTTCAGGTTCAGTGTATTTAGGGAGGTCTGGGCTCACAGTGGAATATTTAAGGCATAATCCTAATTGTTTATTCATGGTTGCCTGCCTCTCCTCAGACGCCAGCAGAAGTGTTTGAAGGAGCAAGTGTGCCTTGAGGAGAAAGCCCTGGTCTCTTATAAGCATCGTCAACGGAGCAGAGATAACATTAAAAACAGAAAATGTGCATGATGCTTTCATAGACGTTATGTCAGAAAATATGGATACGAGTCACAGGCATTCTCTCTGAGAATTTAAGAGACGGTGCGTATGAAGTAGCTTCAAATACATGAAGTTCAATATAAAATAACAGCAGGAAAAAAAATTAAAAAATAAAAGAACAGCAGGGTGTAAACTTGTGACCTGCTCTGTAGTGAACGGTGCCACTTTCCCAACTGTCCCTTTTTTGAGATGGTTAACTCAGCTGGCCTTATATAACATCAACCGAACAGGAGGCGGGTTTTTTTTTGGAGAAAGAGGAATTGAGGAAAGAAGACTCATAAAAGTCAATGGATTGAACTTGTTGTTTGGGAAGAATCTGTTCTCTTGGAGAGGAATCTTTTCTTTTCTTTTCCTTTAAAATTATGGCTGAGTGTCCTGTCAAGGGCACTGCAATAAGCTGTGTAGGCTGTTTGGTAAGGGTACTTCGGTCTGGGTTGTAGAATTTGGTCCTGTTTTTCCTCATTAATGCTGACTGCTAATATGATTTACTGCTGCTGTGTGGACTTAGCCCTCACCCTTTAGCTGACAGGAAATGACACAGCTCTGTGAATGTGGAATAATAAGTCATTGCCCAACTGATCATCCTTTTCTCTGTTTACAGCAAATTTGACAAAGAATTTGTTGCATACTTTAGAAACGCAGGTCCATAATTTTTGTTCTGTATGTCAAAGGGTACATATAACCATTTCCAACTGCCTCTTCCAAACTTCAGTGTCACTGATTCCTAATGACATTTCTTTTATAATTCAGGATTTCCTAGGGGGTAGAAAAAACAAACAAACAAACAAAAGATTAACATTTGAAGAATTAATACAGGATGATAAGACTTATTGATACTACTAAACATCCAAATATACTCTATATCAATTTGTCAGTGCAATATGAAAACTATTTAAGAAACTTCCCTAAGAAAAAACTTTAAAGAATGAGTTCTTTAGAAATTGTTGTCTTTGAAAAACACTAGTACATTCAAAAGATACACCATATTCAGTGTTTTAGGAGTAGTCAAAGAAAAGCAAAGATTATTACTGAACACTAATCAGGCCATCTTTCAGAGACTACCAGAGCTTCATTGCCAATCTGATGAAATATACAGAGCTGAGTTACTTATGGCAATGTCCATGGTCAAGGGGCATTCAATATTTTATTTTATTTTACTTTTTTTTTTTTTTTTTTTGCGTTACGCAGGCCTCTCCCGTTGCGGAGCACAGGCTCCGGACGCGCAGGCTCAGCGGCCATGGCTCACGGGCCCAGCCGCTCCGCGGCACGTGGGATCCTCCCGGACCGGGGCACGAACCCGCGTCCCCTGCATTGGCAGGCGGACTCTCAACCACTGCGCCACGCGGGAAGCCCCTTATTTTACTTTTTAAATTAATTTTAATTGGAGTATAGTTGCTTTACAATGTTGTGTTAGCTTCTACTGGCATTCAGTATTTTAATCCAAGACTTAAAAAATGGAGTCACAGATGCCCTATCAAATTTCTGGAAAAATCCTTTGTGAAAATTCTTGTCATTTATGTTGAAATACTTTAAGAAAGAAAATGTGAAAACTTCTTTGAGCTTAGCATTTATTTACTGAAAAGGCAGTAGTTGTTAGATCAAATGTATAAACAAAACCCTCAGTAACCACTACTTTATTATTTCTGAACTCAGAATGAGGAAACAGGAAATAATTGACTAGAACAACTTGAAATGAGTCATTAGCTTAGGCAAAGACAAAGACAGACAGTAGATTTTAAAGTTAAATAACCTCAATTTGCTGATATTACTCTTGAGACCAGCAGCTCTCAATTTATGTTTGGGCAGAGGGCTACTATTTTGGTAAATAAAACCAATCAACCAACAAAAAAATTCACAGATGTTCCCTGGAGGACTGTGCCCAGAACTAGAAGTCAAGTTGCAACAATTTTGATAACAAATCTATAAAGAGATGTCTAGGTCTGGTACTCTGTGTATAATATTGACTTAAAAATTGAGTGCCTTAGACGGGGTTACATTAGATCTTGAATCACGCAGGATCCATGAACAAGGACTATAATGGATCACTAGTGATTCCAGACGCAGGATTTGAGAATCACTGCTCCAGACCAGTTTTTAGGGTCAAAAGATGTTTCCTTTTGACAACTGATTCGACTTCAGCTGATTGGATTTAGTACTTCAGATCATAAGCTCAACTGGAGAGGCAGTGCTTACGGAAGAGTTTATGACTGTTAAAGACTGTAAAAAATATGACAATATCAATTCTCTCTTCTTTTTGGTTGCAGAAATGAGAGCAAAATTATTTCATTTGCTTTCATTGAATTACTTGGTATGTCTTATGTTCTTATCCTAGAAGATCCTTTCAGTTAAATATTCTTTATTTCCAGGGTGTAAGTTCAAACCCCAAATCTTCTTCTTTCCTTTGAAGGAAACCTCTTTGAGGGAAGAGGGCGTCCTGGAAAATATACCCCAAATGCTCAAAACAGTACTCAAGAATATCTAAGATAATGCAGATCCGGATAAGGTCTTGCAACCACCGATTTTTGAAAACATATATAAAGGAGAAGAAAATTATTCTTTTATCCCTGGCCAACAAGAATCTTGCCTTCTGTAAACATCTTCTAGTCTTGAGGGTCCTCTGGGTCCTCCTTCTCCCCTCTAACTTTCAAGGAACCCTCTCTGAAAGGCACCGCTTTTTACCAGTGCTGGCTATTACACACTGAGTGCTTTGAATGTGATTATGAACTGACTGTTAGCGCCTTCAAACTGTCCACATAAGTAGAGGTCAAATGACTCACCACAATCTGATCCTGGCCCTTATCCAAGATTTTTCTGTAGGTCACATCATTGTCACCAAACCACTACAGACTGGCTATAGGTTAAAAGAATGTGTAAACATGACGATGCAATGTCTGGTAACTAGCAAGATATGTAAGTTGTGTGTGAAAAAAAAACAAAAAACAGACCCCTGTCCTGTTCTTTAAAGGCGTAGAGGAGGTCCTAATTCATCGATAATACAATTCACCTTAATTTTAACTCAGAGCAGAAAGCTACCATCAGCACACTGTATGTAGCCATTGATCTTAATAAATACTTACTGAGGATTTATGCCAGGACACTTTGTTTTGGCTTATAGCCTCCATGCTGCTTCTGAAAATGCCCCATGGTGCTTCCACACTGTCACAGCAACGCTATGGAATCGATCCAATGACTGCTCTCAGGAGTACAGCATGTCATCGAGTCCCACGTATAGATGTCTAGATTCATGTTAGATGAGGTCGCTAAAGGCTCTTAACACATTGGCACCAGGGCAATTAACGGTGGTTCACATATAATTAAAACAGACATTTGAAACCAAATTTTGAAGTACATCATAAATCTTGGCATGATGAGAAAAGAAGAAAATTAGGGAAAATATGAATGTATTTCTTTTTATTAAAAAACATGAATTAGAAAGAAAGGCTAATATTAGCATCCTAAAGAGAGGCTTATTTACTCTAATGTACAGTGGAAGGCATTCAACTTTGACTCATTTTCCAAAACAGCTGACTAGCTGTTGCCCAATTAATACATTTTGGAAACTTTCCAGAAGTGATCCTTTCCATTTCCATTTACGTATTCACAGTTTTACTCCCCGCCTCCCGGCCGAGTTCTCAGTTTGTATTTTCAGCAGGCTTGGTGAGTGCTACCTGGCCTACACTTCTCAGTCTTGGGGCCTGGGAAGTCAGGTCAAAAGAGTTGGAGGAAAGAGAATCAGCAGACTTTGCAGTTCTCTGGAGCTTACCTACTGAGCCATCCATGGACTTCAGGACCTCTTGGGGCCTCCCAGATTGACTGGTGCTGACAGGATTTCTCACAGCGCTCTGAAACACACCGACGTGAATGACTAGAGACTATGAGAACAGCAACTCTAACCATGAAAATCTCTTTCTGTAATAGTCCAGAATGTCTGGGTGCAAGGATAAAAGAGGAAGTCTTTCTGAGGGTCAATGATTTGGGTAATTCCAGGCCCCCAATGTCCACTGTTCCCACGCACACAGCCCTGCAAAGCTTTTACTACCACGAGGAACGTCAGTTTGTATTAAAATATAAACAGAGCATTAGACGGCAGACCCAGTCTCCAAAGGAAATCTGGGAGACAATCATGGTCTCTAGGTTTTCTAAAATTACACAGGAGTAAAAACAATGAGGTTATAGTTTGGAGGGCAAAATTTTGCTTACATCGTGAAAATATAAATGACCCTCACATTTATTTTTAGAGCCCAATAAAATTACTATGTTTAAACTCAATGCAAATGAACGGTTGTGTTCGCCTCATGGTTCAATTCAATGATGCACTGCATTCCCCTCTCTGGTCTTAAAACCTCTATGGAGAAGTGGCCGGAAGAAACTGAAATGCAGTTCCTTGCGATGAAACTCTTTCTCAGTTGTGAGCCAGCCCTAGAGGCTTACGGGCTCAGGCACAGTTACTCACTCTTTCCTTTCTGGTCTAAATCTGGTTCGAGTATCTATCAGAGAAAGCCTTAAAGGGACTGAAGGAGAGTCAAGAGTGTAAGCACTGATGGGCCCCTGACTTTGACTTTGAAAATGGTGGGTAATTGTAAGTGCTAGAGGCATCCAGATATAATGACTTCATACGGTGTTGGGAATATGGATATTTTGGTTACCACTAACTAGCCTGGTGATCATGGGCAAATATTTAACCTCTCTGGGTGTCAAGTTCTCCACCTGTAAAATTAGAGAGCTGACACAGATGATGTCTGAGATCTTGGACAGCTTTAAGGTGCATGGCCTATGACTCAGATTGGTTTTTAGATCAGTGGGAAGAACTATGTCCCCATTGCCTGCCTTCCTTTCCATCAGCCTACAGCACTTGGCTCCCAATGTAGGGCTACAAATTCAATTTCTTTAACATAGATACTCTTATTCAGGTTATATATTTCCCCTTGTATCCATTTTGGAAATAATGTTTCTCAAGGAATTTGTCCATTTCATCTATGTTGTCAAAATTGTTGGCACAAATCCATAGTATTTTCTTCTTCTTCTTCTTCTCCTATTCTTCTATAGGATCGTCTATAGGATCTATGGTGATAGTCCTTCTTTCATTCTTGATTTTGGTATTTTCTTTCTTCTACCTTTTGTTTTTGATTAGTTTTGATAGAGGCTTCACTTGTATTCACTTTTCAGAAGAACCAACTTTTGATTCTTCCAAATGTTAATTTTATTATTATTTGAGATTCATTTCATTGACTTCTGCTCTATTTTTTTAATTTAAAAAATTTATTTATTTTTATTTATTTATTATTATTATTTTCTTGGCCGCACTGGGTCTTCATTGCTGTGCGCATGCTTCTCATTGCAGTGGCTTCTCTTGTTGCCGAGCACAAGCTCTAGGCACGCGGGCTCAGTAGTTGTGGCTCGTGGGCTCTAGAGCGCAGGCTCAGTAGTTGTGGCACACGGGCTTAGCTGCTCTGTGGCATGTGGGATCTTCCCGGACCAGGGATCGAACCCGTGCCCTCTGCACTGGGAGCGTGGAGTCTTAACCACTGGACCGCCAAGGAAGTCCCTTAATTTTCTTTTATTTTTCTAGAATTTTAAGGTGGAAGGGTAGATAATTAATTTTAGAGGTTTCTTGTTTTTCTAATATAAATATTTAAAGCTATGGATTTCCTTTTAAACATTCTTTTAGCTGCATCTTACAAATTTCAATATGTTGTATTTTTTATTGTTCCATTCAAAATATTTTCTAACTTTTCTTGTGACTTCTTCTTTGGCCA